GCGAGTAATTTAGTTTGACTTATGCGAACCGGGTCAGATATCCTTGTCGGTCTATACATCTGAAATTCATATATAATATCACACTGAAATATTTATTTATTTTAAGCGGAAAACTATATTAGTTTAATTAAAAAAAGAATGTTTAAAATGTGGTTAGACGGGAAATCATTAAAGATTCTCATTAGTCCATTTACCGAGGTGCATGCGGTTTATTTAGCGAGAGAAAAACAAGCTAAATGTTTTCCGTAACGAAGCTGTAGTCCAGTCCAAGGAATAATTATGTTTATTTGCTAGCTTTTGTCCCTATTCAAATAATGAATTACATATATTCAGCTATAGATATGAGAAAAATAATTTTGTACTTTTAGTGGCTTCCTTAGGAACTATCGACGCAAGTAAATTAAGTCAATTTTAACGTTTTAAAGTCTCCAGAAATGAAGCACACAATGAATGAAGTTTGTGTGAGTGTATTGTTATAGATGGGAAGCGAGTGGAACAGAGTGGAAAGGAATGGTCTGCGGACTGTCCGCGCGGTATTGGGTTACATGGCAGCCGCGACCGGTGAGAGGTTTCATCACAAATTTGAAAATTATGGATAAGGTAATTGTTACTTCTAAAAGATATTTGCTGTACAATTTTTCAACGTATTCATGTACATCAATATAAATTAATATTTATCACCATTGCGTAATTATAAGAAAACTGATGATTCTAGAATTAAATATTAGCGGTTATCTGTCATAGCTTTGCAAGCAAATCATTTTCTTCTTTGTGCATTCTACAAATTTTTACAATCTTTCTAGACTGTTCGTGTTCAACATGTATCAGTGACCCGTTTCACAAACTACCATCACTCCTACGTGATTTGATACGTGATTGATCGTTGGCTAATAATGTAATGTTTCTTGTAAGACCTAACTTCTGTCAAATTATAATATTAGTAGGTAAATGTTGTTGTATAAGTATCTATAAGCTTATGTTTATATCGTCAGATAGTGCCATTCAAATAAAATGTTATTTACATAATTTTGTTAAGATGTTTCCTTTTTAAAATAATACCACGCATCGAGTTAAAAGTTTTAATTGATAATTTTTAGTTGAAAACACATAACTTGTTTATCAATATTGCTGACATACTTTGCTTTTAATTATTTATGTCGGAATATCCAAATTATTTTTATCGTTCAATGTAAAATCTATGGAAGTCTCACGCAAGCGTAATCTTATAGGTGCGGAGGCGCAGAGCCACAGTGGCGGTCAAACCGAGCTCAAGCCGGGCCGGACTTCATTCAAACTCACTGACTCTGGAATTTGGTGACGTAACATAATGACTCATGATCGAATTCAATATGATTGAATTATACGGAGAGTAATTAAGGTAGGGAAGTCATTTGTAAAATATTTTCGTGATAAAGTAAAACAGACCTTAAGTGCCTACTTCACTTATGTACTTGGCTTAAAGTCCTATGTCTCCGTAGTGGGGCAGAGGGCGTCCACAGTGCGACTACCTTAATGTTTATTTTTAAAATTGAGAGTACACATGTGAACTTATTACTACAAATAGACAATTATAGATAAAAGTAAGACAAGAAAGGACAAATTAAAAATTTAAAGTTTTATGTGATTAGAGGAAAAGCCAGCCAAATTAATGGAAATAAAATGTTTGAATTTTCTTCATTTTTCCTAAAAATGAAGAAGTCAACCAACCCGCACTTGGCCAGCGTGGTTGACTATGGCCTAATCACCCACAACTTAGAGTAGGCTCCGAGCCCCTCGGTGGGGACGTATAGTAAGCTGATGATGATGATTTTAACATTTATCACTTGTATGTACGAAAAATATCTTTAGAATTGAATACGCATAATAGGATATACTCGATTGTAATACATAGTTTCCTTAATGTAAGCGGGGATTAGTAAGTCGGTAGGATTATGACAATTATGAACATTTCGCCATTGAATTTCCATCTGTGTCGAACTATCCAACCGTACGTATCTATTAGTGTATTCCGAATCAAATTAATTGCTGATTCAAGTACATTTGGGATAATTAGAGGATGATATTCTAATAGCTCCTTGTGATTATTGATAATATTCACTTTGATTTAATTAATTAACAGATATATGGATACGTATCTGTAAGTTATCGTATATTCTGTAAAAAATAAAGTATAGCTATATAATAGCTATATATTATTTATATCTTTATTATTTTAAGTTCAGATAGTAAATTTAAAATTAGCTAAACTTGAAAGTAATTTCTCAAATAATTATTTATGAACAATGCATAATTATACTTTTAAAAATATGAATTAAAAATTATCTTCATTGATATACTAAACCAATTATTTTCTTTACTTATTTGAATAACATCATTTTATTAAAATTAAAGTTTATTTTAAAGATGAATTCGGCTGTTTTGTAATTATCTTGAACTTTCAGCTTCTCCAGAGGTTACTAAGATATTTGCCTCGAATTTAATTATTCAACACGTGCTCGACGCTTGTCGGGCCTAATACAAAGGCATATAATTACCATAATTTTGTTAACAAATTTCGTTAAAATTATATGTATACAAATTATAAACATTTTAGACGTATAGAATTTAAAAGAAAATAACATAAAATAAAATATTAAATTATCTAGTGAATAAATTTAATAAAATAGTCTACTATAAAACATTATGAAATAAAATTGTAAATACATTTGTTCAAAATTAAGTTCATCTTACACAATTAATCAATTTGTAATATTATTCGCCTTCATAATATTAATATAATAGTCATAATAAGGAAATAGTCAGATGCTAAAGGACGTTCCGTTAAACTGAAAAGTTGACAATATGTCCTAACGAAGCAACAGACAACATGTAAAATCAGTCTTAAAACAACTAAGGATTAGAAACTGATTAATTAGGAATTTAATTACAATTTGACCATCTTAAAAAAAATATTAAACCAAGATATCAAGGCAAAAGTCAACTAAGATAGCCAGGATCAAGAACATCATTAAGTTTGAGACATTTTCAGCGTATACGAAATACAGGGGGATGGTTATTTCCACAAACTGCTACTAACTAGGGATAGAGTATGAAAACAAAAACACAAATAACTAAGCATTTCATTACAAAAGGCTTAATTTCAAAAAGCTCGAGCTTGAAAGAGGATTTACATTTTTTAGCCTCCGGAGAAAACGAGGGTGGACTTAGGAGTGCAAATTCAGTATTTATAAGATTCTGGGATATTCACAATTATCTTTTTATAAGGTTCTACGCGAACATTCCTAGTAATAAGTCTGATGAAGTTTGTTATTTCTGTATTACTGGAGCTACAGTACTATATTATTATTTTTACTAAGATACAAAGAGCAAAAGGCTAATATTCTTAAATAACAAGGGTACCGTGTTAATTTAACTAATAAGGACAAAATTGATGTTAATTTCGTAGACAAATATCTGGAAATAGCTTGGTTTTAACGCAATGAAATATTCAAATATATAATCTTTTTTAGCTATTTGCAGCATATCAACATTGAAAATAAGAAATTTGAAATTCCAACTATATTAAAATTCAAAATGCCGCAGCAAAAATATGCACTAGTTAGTCGGAAGCCAAGAAGGATGGACGGTCGCGTAAGTAAGCTGAGCTGATTTTATACGACATTAAATTCCAATTGGGGACTTACCCTTAAGTGGAGTGTGCTTTAGAATATTAGCAATATGGCTAGCAATGCCAAAAAATTCTTTCATTTCCCAGCAGTTACCGAATAATTGAACTAATGATATATTTTTCTGAACACGAAGTTTTAATTTTAATGTAATATAATAATATTAAAACATTGTGTTCATTTACATTGCTGACTGTTCCGTAACAATCTCTACATAATTTAATATTAAATTAATATTCAGCCATAAATTTATCGCAACAAAGATTGATTCTATATAAAAACGGCTAAAACTCACGTATGTTCGTCCGGTGGCGGCTCCGCCTAGTTTCATGCCCGTCGGGGGCCCTTCATCAGGGTGAGTACTGACTGGTATTATTTCACGGACGCGGCCCGTCGCTCAAATCCACTGCTGCCCAATGTATTTCCACAATTATGACCTTATCATTGGTGCATCTTATAGGGAGACCCTCCTACTAGTGTGGTGGTAAGAAGCAAGCATAAAGTATCTACCTCCCTATACATAACATTATTACGGATCCAAGTTACAATTAAATTCCATCTTCATGTTTTAAAATAAATTATTGTAACACAACGAAACACAATAGCTTTTATGGCTGCTATACAATAAACGGTTATGAGGATGCTTGCTAAAGTATTCCAAGATTGTACAAGTTTTAAAATTAAGTGGATTACTCCACATCCAAAAGAGAATACTTGTAAACTTTCGCCGTTCTCGATTCTTGCCTTGGAAAAACAATAAATCGTTCAAGGAGAACAAATAACTCGACTTTGCAAAATTAGCTCAAACTTAATTGTTGAGAACAGAATAGAATTTGTAATTAACAAAGGACTTGGAAGACGACTTTTATTTTAAGATCAAATGTAAAGCATCAATGCATTTAATTCTTCTGCTTACGAGTTAAATCGAAAGTGCTTAAAGTTGATTATAAGACGTTATGGCAGGACTTATTTTAAACTGATTAATTTTAAAGCTGATAATATCAGTTCAATTGATGGACCAAATAGTTTAAACTGAAATGATTTACGCATCATACAGGTTTTATTAATTCTTTAGGTCTGTTCGACGAAAATTTAAAGGGTCTTAGGGTCAAATATTATCAAAAGCCTGTACTTTTTGACTGCTTAAAAAATTTGAAGTTGTAGAAAACTTGATACGTTATATTCATAAATGTATACATCTTTATTAGAGTTATTTTTTTTAATAATTATAAAATATTCATCTACTATAGAAAATATTGCAAAACCTTATTTTTCTGTAAAAAATTCTATCAAACTTGAAAAAGAATAAATTTCTAATGTCAATATGACGTGCTAGTTGTAAACAACAAAATGATAAGTTTATTTTACACGTTTCATACAACAAATTTTATTTTTTTACTTTTACTGTTTTATGGTGTCAAATGTAACCCGAAGCCAGTCGGAGAAGAGTGGGTTTTATTAACAAAACCTCAGAATTATCGAACGAATACAGTTAAAGATTTAACAAGCCCTAGGACTTTTACACCTATTTACGATGACATTAGCAATGTGAAATTTGATAAACTATTTCCATCAGACCCATTCCTTTATGACCAAGACACAGAATTTACAACTCCTAAACCTGGTCACCGGTCTATTTATAATACATTTCCATCAGAAACAACATTAAAAGGGGACCAAATAAAATATTCGGATGTAATACAATGCTTGTGGTGTTTTACGGATAGAGGTTTTATGTCTGATGAAAGTTGTTACAGCGGTAAAACGTGAGTATAAAATAATATTAGGCACGAAAAGTTTTTAGAATTATATTTGGATGTTAAAATAAACTATGAATTTTGATAATAATTTTCTTTCTAATATTTGTGATACGCAATAAATCTTAAGATTTTTAATGATATTTAAATTTCACAATCATATTTTTCTTCCCTTAAGACCAGCAAAATTACGATGTTCATCGAATGAAATATGCTATACGGAGCTTCATCCACAGTATATAAGACGAGGTTGTTTCAAGCCGAATAAAATGAATAAAACCTTTGTATGCAACTGTCCACTTTGCAATGATAAAACTGTATACCAATCAGTTTATTACGAATATAAAAGAATATCTGATTGGGATTATCATAACAAGCGAATTCAAATACCAATAGCAGGAATGCAATTAATATGTAAAACTTGTGAAACAAGAGGTCGTGATGCTCTTACTGATGATAAATGCAGATTTGGTACAATGTAAGTAAATGTATAATCTTTAAACGAAAAAAAGGAATATTAATTTTCGCTAATTTGTTTATTTTTAGTCTTATCGCCCATGCAGCATTGTTTTTTTATATCATAAGTTGGCAAACGAGCGAGCGGCCACCTGAAATCGCTGAAATAGCGAAGTGACCGTTGCCCATAGACATGCAATTGCATTGTTTCAAAGTTCAATAGTAAAATAATCATAACAATAATGTCAAACCAGGCTACTTAGACACGCAACTAATATAATGTTGACGGTAACTTCTATATCTGTGTGTGTACGGATTTGTCTTACTAATATTATAAATGCGAATGTTCGGATGGACGGATGGATGTTTGTTTGAAGGTATCTCGTGAACGGCTGCTTGGATCTCGCTGAAATTTGGTGGACATATAGGTCTTTCTTTAATTCAGCGCGGACAGAGTCGCGGTCGACAGCTAGTATTAAAAACTTACTTAGCTATGTAATTAACTGTAGTCTTATTTTTCTAGTGATGATTACGTGGTTTGTGGACGCAATCAGGTGTGCTATGTAAACCATGATGAAGAAAATGATTTTGTTACAAGAGGATGTATAAATACTCCAGCTTACAATTCCATGTTTTACTTATGTAATAATTCGTTGTGTAACTCTAAACCCTTCAATATACCTAAAATACGTTCAGAACAATTACTGTTAAATGATATGTCCCATAACAATTCTATTCATACCAAGAGTATTGGTGTCACCATAAATGACTTCAATGTATTTAAAATATTATTTTTATTAAAAGCAGTATTTGCTATCATGAAACATAACTTGTCATAGTCGTAGAATTATATTTCTAAAAATGACAACTTTGATATACGTATTGTCAAAATGTCACAACTTTTCTAAAACAATGAGAAGAATTGTTTTTAATTTATTTTTATTAATACATTTGGCGAATTGCATTGAAAAGCAAACGCCAAAGGTTAAAAACCTATTGCCTAACTTTCGCCGACAAGTTGAAGAAATTCCAGAAGAATTTACGACAGAGAAAAGCGAAGATGACGCAAATTTAAATTTAGTTGCCTTCCTTGTTAAAAATGCTAAAGAAATATTTGGTGAGACCGAGGATAACACTGACGTTGTAACAAAAACCTCAAAAATTACTGAAACAACAACATTTCGACAAAAAACAACATTGCTTAAAGATAGACGGACGTTACCGGCAGACCGAACATTTTCTGACGAGAATATATTTCTCGAACAGAGACCAGCTCTCGAAGAAAGAACGGTACTCAAAGAAAAAACATTAACCGAAGAAAAAATATGGCCTGAAGAGAGCACATTTCCCATAGCAAAGGCATTTACCGAAGGGGTATCTATAGATGAGGAAACTTTTAACAAAGAAGGGACGTTACCCGAAGTAATGACATCTTCTGTGCCGTTTTCCAAGAAAACATTATTTGCTGTAAAATCATCTAAAAGTCTGTTAAGAAATTTAACCACTAATACGATTAACGATTTCACTACTGTATGGTCACCATCTTTATCAAATCCACTTGGTACTATTTCTTCTACCACCACTACCACGCCTACTACGACAAGTATCCGTTACTCTTTGTCCAGTCCCTTGACATCCTATTTAGAAAATACAACGACACAGTCGTACAAGTTACCCACAAGAACCACTGGTATAGAATATACAATAAATGTTGAATCAATAAAAAGCGACCTATTGAACATAACGAATGTTCAAATTATTGAGAAAGGCAAAAAAGAACCAATCATGCTTACGAGAAAACAAGACCGCATGCATGACGATATTTCTATCTATAACGTACCAGTTGCTGCAAAAGAAATAGGCTCATTAAAAAGATCTTGTATAGCATGTAATAATATTCAAATGCACGAATGCAATGAACCTAAAAACAAAATGTTAGTATGTAATTATTTATTACTTTTCCTTGCGTTTGGAATGATCTGAAGAATAAATATGTAGGTATTTCAATTTCAAAATTTTACTCCTCACGCAATAACACTATTGCCCTATTTCTGCTTTTTTGTATGTATCAATAGTCAACTAATCATTAATTAAAGATATGTATTGAAACTAACGTGCCTTTTGACTAATTTTTTTTCTGTCAACAGGCTTCCAAATACGCGTTGTGAAAATGAAGAAGATTTGTGTTATACACAACAAACTCCGTTTGGTCTGATAGATAGAGGATGTTTCAATATTAATCAAAATATATCAACTTACGTGTGCTCCTGCAATCTTTGCAATTATATTCCTATTTCTGATATGCCTTATAAATTTTCTAAAAGGAAAGATTGGCTTGATAATATTATAGATTTATCGAGAACAAGGAATTTTCGCTCGTCTATTTTTAAAAATATGTCGTGCTTAAGTTGTGAAGTTAATACTACGTCTCCATCTTCAATACTGTTGGAGCATTTAAACTGTCAAGAAGGGAATATGTAAGTATAAAAATGTTACGGCTTTAAAGGGGCAAATGGTGCAACGCATCGCCTAATGTTAAATGATCACAACCGCCTATGAATATTATAATATTCAGTATTCAGAAATACTGCAGATTTGCCGGCTATAAAATTACGCGCTTGTGTTCAAGGACTATTAAAAAATACAACTTGATTCATGAATCATTCAATTGCTTGTTTCAGTGGAATTTTACCAAAAGTACAATGCGCTGATGATGAAATCTGTGGCGTCAAGGCTCTCAAGAACAAAGGTTACGTATGGCGCGGTTGTCTCAGAAGTCCACTCTACAACTACTGGTGGTCTTTATGTGATAGTGATTTGTGTAATACTGATAATATTGTGTCTTTATACGATGAGATTCGATAGTGCAATTGTAAATGTATTTAGAGAAAATTAATAACGATTTTATTTTTAATTTGTATTTTTTTTTTCTAAAATCATTCAAAATCTTTGTAAACATGCTTAGCGGCCTCTTATCTTATTTTTCGAATTACTTTAAAACGTGTGTGCTCATTGTTGTCTATTGCTTTGTACTAAAGGAAATTTCTCGCGGAGTCGGTCTTTTAGATAAGATTAGGAAAAAACGGAAACATATTGTTATTGTTATTACTCGGCATAGATACGATTACGATCTAGAGATAGCATATCTCTATAGTGATCTTAGATCTGAAGATTACAATCTTTTTATTCAAATACGTCTTTATATTAAAATTCTAAAGTTATACAGCCGTGTGTTTTTATTTGCGATTACGAGGTGAAAATATTTTATTGATTTTCACCTATCTTTTACAAATACAGAAACATAGTTCCCATAATTTCTCGAAAATGGAACAACAATATTTACATTTTCCCATTTTAGTAATGAGTAGAAACCTAAAAATTTATATTTTATGATGTTAATTTAAGTTACACGGTTGATGAATATGTCCCTTTGAAGGATTTCATTGCAGAAAACGCCTTGTAGAGTCGAACAGAAGTGTACCTCGAGTCGCTGATCTGAAATATCCAATACAAACATAGTGAATTCGATATTAAAATGCATAAATCTATAACTACGAAACTTACCTGGAATTCCTTTGGTTTTATTTAATGTTAAATAATTTTAATCTTATGAAATACATAAATTCGTACTGTACATATAATTTTAGTATGTTATTAAATTTATCTGAATTAATAGCTTAAAAACGCTCTGAGTTCGGTTTTCGGACGCTATTTAAGCTAACCAATAACCATATAGTGTACTCGAAGACGACGAGTTTCAGTACGAAGCTTTTTTAATTTAATCTGTTAATATTCGAGAAGTGCTGACATCAAAAGTCGACCATACCTGGCGAGCTGCCCAGCTCTCTGCGACGAAACTTTTGGCTCAGAGCCAAATGATAAATTAGTTACTCTTAATCAAGACTTTATCCAGTTACGTATTCATAGCAATAACATAAGTGGTTTAACATGTTTTTATTTTAATCATTTTAACTTTTTTGGTAGATAGATAAATAAAAATGTGAGATTATACTATACATTTTTAAATTGCTTCTGTATAAAGACTCGCTGTTTCAATGAAAAGATAATTAAGTTAAAAAAACAATAGCTATGCAAATCGAGTTTAGTCTACGTTATAAACGTGATGTATAAACACTTGAAGCAATCTTGCCACTTCTCATCTTAAAAACTAAAAAAAATCTACCAGGCATCACATTGGACATGATAATTGTACATCCTTTTGATTACTATTACTCTAAAAGAGAGAATATAAATTGGTAATAGGAGGTATAGAGTGCAGAAGGGATGGACAATGTTGCCTCAAGGCACCTGCCTTTCTTTCAACACGTAGCAAATTGTGTATTTAATACCCACCTAAAGCTTTGTATCAGACACTTCTTTGATAGCCTGAAAGGTTTTGATGTACACAAACGTTTTGACTTAAACAAGATATCATTTAGCCGCGGGCTCTAACGCGTTTATTATTTGCCTTATTCAACCAGATTGGTTTTGTTTGTATAAAGGAAGTTGATTTGAACTACATATATACAGCTCTGAAATGTTCTTTGTGTTACCTTAGGCAAGTTAAATCCAGTATGATGTAAAATTATGCTTAAAATATCTGGAACTTTACATTCATTTTATTGATTAAATATTGCCATACATCGCTTCCAAATTGGACTTATAATAACAATCAATTAAAAACACACATAAGCATCTAGGTTTTTGTTTACTATTTCTTTTTTTGTAAATTATTGTTTTTATTTGAAGTCTTGATTGATTGTTGAATAATATACTTTAGGTATGTTACTTTTAAAAAGGTCTTCTTTTCATATTTACTTTACTACAAAGTTTTATCTACAATCTTGTCACATGATACAACTTTAAAAAATTAACATAGATCAATATCGTATATAATTAAACTAACATTAAAGAAATATTGCTTTGTTATCTTCTAAATAGTTCCACAAGTCAGCGTTCCTTGTAATATATTGCCGACATAAAATCTTCAGATTCTGATAGATATCATTTCTCGCATAGTTCGTTTCCGATCCAGAGAATCCCGATCCTTCGTTCGACCTGACGACGTAAAAATATGGTAAAATTACGAAGATAAGGTCCCGCCAAGATCAATCAACGTCTGTAGCGTCCATTGTTTTTATAATTTCAGCTTCTCAAAGCCGCTTAATACAATATTTTCAAATATAAAAAGAACATTAGCTTTTTTTTTAGTTAATAATGAAAATGTAGATAAGTTACACAAAAAGATAAAGACTAGAAAGGATCAATTTCAAAACGCAAGACTCGTATTATATCAAAATTAAAATCAACACATTGTAATGATTTCTTTACGGATTTTTAAATCTATTCTGTTATCAAATAAAACAATTTGGAAGTTTTAAAATTGAACGATCAGCCCCAAAATTCCAATGAAGATAATATATTTACGATAATTCACCTTAAGTGAAAGTTTTATTTGAACGTGTCCCGCATTATCATGGAAACAAATTATGATAAAACTAATATAATGTTAGACAAAGAAAACAACTGCATTCTGACATGTTATAGAAACACCGTTCGGAGCGTATTTTATCCGAATGTTATTGAACAAGATAAGATTTCTAGGTTTTATGAGAGTATCAGAGAAATAACACGCGTCATACGCCGCCCGCGATGGAGTGTGTTCTTACTATTTCATATAACATACGCCTATTTGATCGTTCCATCAAATTTTTATTATAAGCAACTGCGTACACAATACTACGAATAAAACTAGGAAGGAAACATTCGTTATCTTTCTAATAACATGAACACACATTCTGAAACGTTTGAACGCATTTTAATGACTAAAAGTGCATGTATATGTTTCATTTTCTAGTCAATTAGTGTCTTACATATTTAATATGAGTAACCGTGGGTTTCCGAGACCTTAACCCTCAATTAAAATATATTTGGTATAATGGTTTTATCAATGACTAGCTGTCGCCCGCGACTCTATCCGCGCGGCATTTACAAAAAGGGTAGGGTAAAGGGTTTTCCCGACAATTATTAGATTTTTTCTCAACTTTTAAACCTTCCATAAACCTTCACGAACATTTTAAGATAAAGATTATATAAATCCGTGCAACCGTTCTCGAGTTTTAGCGAAACTAAAAAACAACAATTGATTTTTATACATATAGATGACGTTTCATACAGAGATTGTGTCAGAAACTAACGGTAAGAGAACAAAATTAACATAAACAAAAATATTTCTATAGAGAAAGGTAGTAATTTTCACGTCAACTCAAAGCATAATGAGAATGTTGTAAGTACAAGAGCTCGCCTAGTTCTAGGTCATCTGTATTGATGTTCGGGTCCGCATTGTTTCGACTGTCATACCATTCATCAATCAACCGGGTACAGTTAGCTTGAATGGACCATTGAGGTATAATCACAGTAAGCCTATATTCGACGATATTTGGGTTATTCAGCTTTAGATATGGTAGGACGGCTATTTATAATACAGCTTTACTAATACCATAATTGATAGATATTAATTATTTTATTATATTCATATTTATATTTATAACTATTACATACTGCGAGAGACTTACTTAAGTAAATAAATTTCGAAAACCAACAAAAAATTATTCCATTTTCAAAAGCTGGTTTGATTGCTTACCAATTTTATCAATTTAAAACAATGTATTTATTAGATCGTAGACATTTTTCCCTTGACTAAATGTTCTGGGTAGCATTAAAAAGTGAAAACACACAGAACACAGGCGTGAAGTGGAAGCAATTCCGCGTTTCGTCTGATGAGTGTGCGTCCCGGAGGCCTAATTTAGTCCTCTTTCCATTCCTACCTTTTTTCTCTAATAAGGAAAGGATGGGAAGTGGAAGTGGACATTCCGGGTGAGAGGATCCATGAAAAGGGAAAATGTTTTCTTTCTGTGCATCATCTCCTCCGTCGATTAAAGGTAGGCAACGCATATGCTATTGCGTATGTCTATGGGCAACGATCACTTCGCTATTTCAGCGATTTTAGGTGGCCGCTCGCTCGTTTGCCACCTTATGATATAAAAAAGTTAACATGTGAACATAGAACAATTAAAACAATTGAATCAGAATATATAGTTTATAGTACTTTGACGTATCTGCAAATAGATTGATCATATGGGTGTAATTGCCGGCGTTCGCACTAACCAGACAGTTTGACGGACATGTTTCACAGAAGGCATACGAAATTATTAGGAACTGGATCGATCTCGTTTGATATTGAATCATAATAATGTAAAATCGTCTAAGGTTAAATAAAATAACATTTTTGACGACCTTACACAGTTTTATATTAAATTCCACTTTTTATAGTTTTGAAAAAAATAAAAACGGACTATTGTTCCCGAACGTCGTCGTTCCGCCATTTTAACAATGAAATACGAAGTGTGATTGTCTCGATTCGCATCGACGAGTTTTATTAACATTCTCCTTATTTGTCGAAATTGTTTTTTTCTTGCAGTCTAACGCTAGTTGGTGTTTGGAGGCGCGAAATTTCCGATTCGAACTTTTTTCGCGCTGTCACTTTTAAAGCCACGAACGAACGTCGTCTCGTTAGAAATGTCGGGCGGTACAAACGGACGAGCGATGCAGATACGAAACAAAACTTTGTCGTTTCGAAATCGATGCTATAGCTTTTTGCAGCTATTAAGTGCGATCCGACACTATGTTTACAAATGCTATTCCGTTTTTGGGTAAAATTCCACTTTATCGAACTTACTGGAACGTTTTTTGATCTTTTAGCACGGCATATTCGGTGAATATAATTCTTTATATAGAAACTATAAAAAGGATTTTTCACGAATAATATTCAGCATTTATCTGAGTCTGTCGATTTCGGTATATTCAATTAAGGGGAAACTTGTTCGTAGCGACTCGGTGTTCTGATGTGCTGAT